CGGGGGCGGGGGCCGCGGCCCCGGGGGACGCGGGGCGGCGCATAATGAAGTGTGCAAAAAGTTAATTTGCTCCGCGACTCGCTGCTCACCACAATCAAAGGCGGGCGGCGGGGAGGGGAGGGGCGAGGAGTGTGCCCCCCACCCTGGCCCCGGCGGGCGATCCGGAGGCGGGGTGGGGGTCGCTGGGCACCCCCGGCGCTGGGGACGGAGGTCTGCAGACGTGCGTTCTACCCCCACATCCGCCGCGTGTCCCAGGGCAGGTCCCGTCCCCTCTCCGAGCGCCGCTCTCCTCTCCTGGACGCACAATGGTTGACATTTCTGCAGCGCTCGCTCTCTCTGTGCGGGGCACTGCGCCAAGCGGCCGAGCGTCTCCCTCGGGTTGTCTCCTTTCACCTCACAACCTGAAGAGGTAGGGCCTGTGCTCACCCGTTTGCAGACGAGGAACCCGAGGCACAGGGATGCTCAGGAGGGCCCCAAGGTCACAGGGCTCTTCCTCGGCCCCAGAGCCTTAGGTAGAAAACGACACGGTGGCCAGCGTTAAAGACAAAATACACCGGACAGTTGGTGAGATGATATTACTCACGCAAAGCAATAAGGAGAGCACCTCAGATCCCAAGATCAGAGTGTCTGGCTGGGTGGGTTTGCCGTAGACTTTTGCAGAGAGGAGAAGACAGGTTACAGGTGGGGAGACTTAGAGGTGAGGTTGTCTTGCAATCAGGAGGTGCCTACATCAATCAACTGAAAAGGAAACGTTTATCTATGCATCTAGTTAGTTTCAGAGGGGACACACAGTTCTAATCTCAACCAATCAACCATGGGACAAAGAATGGGAAGTGGGAGAGTCTTTGTCCGGCCTTGTCCTCAGGTTCAGGCACAAGGGGAAAGGTCACAGGCAAACAAGGGAATCATCCCCCCCTCCCCCTCTTGTGGGAGTCACAGGCAGTAGACAGCGAGTCTTATCTAAGTCATATGGGAAAGGGTGGTTTATTTTGGTAAGTCATTGCCCTGAACAAAGGTTGGGGGGTTTTGGAAAACAAAAGGTTGGGGGAATTTCTTAACCATTGCTGTAAAGTTTAACATTGTCAAAAGGTTGGCTGATAGCACAGGTAGAGGCAAAAGCTTTGCTGAGGGCCTTAAAGCCACTGCCTGGTGAGGAACTTATCCTTGTAAACATAAACGCCCCTTCAATCAATCCTCTGGGGAATGTGACTTGGGCAAGGAGCAATGATACTTTATAGGACACTATTTCAGTGAGAGCATAATGGCAAGCACAAAGCAGAGCACCTGGAGCATGGTAAGCGCTGAATGAATGTTAGCTATGGTTACTATCATGTTCTCAGAGAGCAGCGGTGCCGGGATTTGAATTCACGCTGCATGGTTTCAGAGACCACTGGCTTGCTGTCAGGCACACTGCTGGCTCTCATCTCTATAGCTTCACTCCTCAAACACCAAGCGCTTTCCTAACCTGTGTCCCAGGTACTGGGTGCCCTGATGAGAAATGGAGCAGGGCTGCCCTTCCTGAGTGGCTCATCCAGGGAGGCAGGCCAGCCCTAAGCAGACAATGACACAGAAGCCACAGTGGCCTAGGAGCTCAGAGGGAGTGCCAACGCCCCCTCCTCCAGAAGCAGCTTCCAGGACAGACTGGCCATGCTCACGCCCTGGCTCTGACTAGTGGCTCCTGAGTCCTGTTTCTCTGACCCACTGCCCAGGCCTATCCCTGGATCCAGGCTGGACCAGGGGATTGGAAGGGTGCTCTTGAGGGTGACACGAGCCAGGCTTTCAGGGGAGAAGGGGCGGGGTCAGAGCCAAAACAAGATTTATGGGCCTGATCATAATAATGAAAGAAAAAAAGAAAAAAGGACGTGTGTTCGGCAATGCCCAGGGACCAGGACTGCTGCCCTATTACCAAAAATGTCGTCGCTCTCGACTCTGCAAATTAGCATAAAACATGCTGTTTTGCATTCATTTGCATGTCATTTGCATGCTAATGACTTGACGCCACAATGCACCCAGTCCCCTGAGAGGCTTCTGGTCCTAGCTTTTCTCCCAGCCCCTGCCCCTTGTCTTGCATTGAGAAAACCAGGATATCTTGGTTCTAGGCTAGGCTGGGCTGCTCACTCTAGGCTGGTCCCTCTCTGTCTCAGTTTCCCTGGATGTGAGCTGAACGGGACGAACTGAGCAGGGGTTTTCAAATTATGTTCCAGTACCCCCGTGGGAGCTGCAGAGACGGGGGAGCAGGTGGGGCAGGCGCCCCCCTTCCATCCTTTCCGAACAGCTGGGACTCTCAGTAAAATTTCTCTTCAGCAATGCAGAGCTTCTCTATTAAAAACAAAGTCCAAAAAGTTTACAAACAAATGGACTAAGTTTTCTCTGCCAAGTTTTTCCAATGCAATGTTCTTTAAAGACTTTAATAATAATAACAATCAGAGTTAAAATTTGTAGTACTTACCATGGGACAGGCACTGTTACACATGTAATTCACATAATCCTCACACAACCCTTGAAATATATGCTATTGTTACACCCCCATTTTATAGATGGGTAAACGGAGGCACCAAAAGGTTGAGTAACTTAGCTAAGTTCAAACAGCCACTACATGGAAAAGATTGGAACCCAGGCAGTCTGGCTCTAGAGTCCACATCACGAGTTTGTCCAGGTCAACCTTTCCATTGTACAGATGGGGAAACTGAGACCCAGAGAGGAAGACAGAATTTCTAAGCATAGCAGCTAAACTGGCACTTGAGCCTTGCTTCCTACCCAAGCCCTAGACTCTTCGCCACCCAGAGAAGGGCAGATGGAGAAGGGACACGTGGGGTTTCAAAGATGGTCCAATGAGCCTGAAAGGGTGAGAGGTGCCTTCTTCCCTGGCTGCTACCAGAGCCTGCTTCCTCCTCTTCAGCCAGCCTAATCCCAGCTGGAAGACTTCAGGGAATAGGCCCTGGAGCCAGGCGGTATGAGCCCCTAAATCAGGGTAGCCAGCAGGCTGGTGAGAGCACCAGGTGTGCCCACCAGAGCCAACACACAATACCCTGCTTGACTGTGCAGGTGGAGGCACCACCGAGGGGGCTTCTGGTGCAGGGGTTGGGGGGGGTAGGGAGCTTTATCTCTGCAGAAGCAGGCAGTGCCAGGCCAGCAGGTGCTCAGCCCCCATCCATGGGGGTCTGGCTGGGAAACCCCCAGATGCAGAGATGACTAGCCCCCCCCCCCCCGCGTGGTGCCCTGTTGGGGACTAGTCATCTCTTCTCTCTATTCAGTGCCTCATCATGGCACCCTGGACTTTCTCCAGACCCCTTCCTCCTGTCAATCTCCACGTCTGAACTAACCCCTGTCACCCTGCTCCAGCCACCTTGGCCTTCTCTCATTTCCTCTCACATCCCAAGCTCGGTCCTACCTCTGCACCTTTTGCTGTTTCTTCCACCTCGAACACCCTGCTTGGCCTCTTTGCACCTTTTGGGTCTCGGCTCAAGAGTCACTTCCTCTGAGAGACCTTCTCTAACTACCCCATCTAAAGTTAACTACCATTACCCCCTCCCCCGTTACTCCTGAGCACGTCAACCTTGTTTTCTTCTCACCTGTTACCACAATCTGAATTTATCTTGTTTACTTACGTGTCTCCTTATCTAGTGCCTGTCTCCACCACTAGACTCTCACTGCAGGAGAGTCAGGACCGTGTCTCTCTTACAGCAATATAGTTCTCAATGAATATCTGTTGAAGGAAAGAAATAAAGAGGGGAGGCAGTAGCTGCTGATGATTTATTTGGTTAGTGTCAGTCTCCCCATCCCCACCCTTTTCTAGAATGTCAACTCCAGGTAGCGAGGGATTTATGTCTGTTGTGATTACTGCTGTGTTCCCAGGGGCTAGCACTGTGCCTGGTATACAGTAGATGCTCAATAAATATTTGTTATGAATGAGCAAAGTTTGCAAGAGCTTTGGATCAGAAGTTGGGAGACCTGAGTCCCTTCCCAGCATTGCCCCAGATGGAGTGTAGGACCCACGGAAAGTTCCTTCTCCTCTGGGGCCTTCAGTTTCTTCTCTGAAAGCTGGACTTTGAAATCCCTGCCACCTTCATCAGGACCATGCAGGGTCAAAACAGTGGCTTGTCCTGACTTACTCCTCAGAAAAGGCAGCCAGTGCAACTGCCAGGAGGCGAGGGGCAGGCAAACCTGGCCTCCAGTCGGGACATGGCTATCACCTGGCGGTGTGACTTGGAGAAATCACTGTCCTCTTCTGAGTCTCCATTTTCTCATTTGCAAAAGGGGCACAGTAACCGTAAGAACAGCATGAGATGATGGAAGGAACAGTGTTGTGCAGAGTGTAAAGCAATGTGCGCATAGTGTCATTTCTCATCAGCAAGGCAGTGCAGCAGGGTCATCATGACACAGCTCCACCCAGCAAGTGCTCTCTTTCTTTATCTGTAAAAGGGGCTCCCAATAGTACCAATCTCATGGAGATCTGGTGAGGATCAAAATGAGAAAATGTGTACCAAGCCCTTGGCACAAGACCTGGCACAGTCCTTGTAGGCATTAAGTGCCTCTGTGGCTGTTCCTGTCAGGACACAAAGAGGAAGACACAAGGTGAGGATGGGGGTGGCCATGGTTTGAGTTCAGTCTGAGAAAATGTGTACCAAGCCCTTGGCACAAGACCTGGCACAGTCCTTGTAGGCATTAAGTGCCTCTGTGGCTGTTCATGTCAGGACACAAAGAGGAAGACACAAGGTGAGGATGGGGGTGGCCATGGTTTGAGTTCAGTGTTGGGTTGGGGAGGATGAGGCTGGATGGGGAGGCTGGGGTGAGATCAGGCAGCCCCGAGGGTTGGATGAAGATTTAACTTTTATCGTGCGGCAGTGGGAGCTAGAGGATAGTTCTAAGCAGGGAAGTAAAATGATCTGATCCAAGTTTCAAAATGCCCACTCCAGGTGCCAGTGTGGCTGGCATCGCTGGTGCTTCCCCATGTTTATTACCTCCCTCTCCTTCAGCACTAGAACCCCCAGTTGTAGCTAGGCACATGGACACCCAGATAGAGACCACACTTCCCAGCATCTCTTGCAGTTAGGTATGGCCATGTGTCCACGTTCTAGCCAAGAGGAGGTAAGTAGAGTACCATGTGCAATTACTGGGAGGGGTCCTTAAAGAGAATGGAGCATTCTTTGCCTCTTCCTCTTCCCTCAGTTGGAATGTGGACATGATGGCTGGAGAATGAGCAGCCATTTTGGACCATGAAGTGCTGAGGCTAGAGCAATATGATAGAAGGAGCCTGGGTCCTTGAGGACCAAGGAGCCATCATACCAGCCTGGGACTGCCTGCCTCCAGACTGTTTATAAGAGAAATCAGTGTTTGTCTCATTTAAGTCACTCTTCTTGTGGGCTCTCTACCACCTACGGCCAAATCTAAACCAAATAGATCCACCAGCACAGGTGACCTTGGAGCTCTTGGTCCCACCTTGAGGTATACTGGGTAGAGGATGCTCCATGAGGCTCCTGGCTCTGACTGCCCAGCTCTGCCTATCCGAGGGCACAGCCCACATCTCCCCAACAGAAGTGGCTGGCATCTCTGGCTGGCCCAAATGCTGACAGGTGCAAAGCTCATCAGGGAACAAGACCAGGCCTCCTGCTGCTGCCCTTGCAGAGAGGATGGCAGGCAATGGCAGAGTGGCATTGTCTATCCTGTGTGCCACCTCCGGCCCCTTCTCACCCACCCTCCACGCTGCATCCAAGTGATCTCACAAATTCCACCTCAGTGTCCTCCTGTGGCCTCCCACAACCCTCAAGGTGACCTCCAACCACTTCTCTGGCCCACCAAGCCCTGCAGGATGTGGCCCCCGCTTGATTCTTCAGTGCTCAGCTTCAAGTAAAATCCGTAGGCACATTTCCTCGCTCTTTCTCTAGGAGCTCTGTGACCTCGACCAAGCTGCTAAAGTGGTTGGGGTCTCAATTTCCTTATCTATGAAATGGAGATGATAATAACAACTACTTCCTGTTGTTGTGAAGCTTGCATGGGTCAGTGCGGGGGTTCTGGTTATTTGGTGCGGCATAACAAACCACTCCAAAACACAGTGCTGTTGCCCCTTTTCTTACACTCACAGACTCTTACTGGTCAGGAAGCGAGACAGAGCTCACTGGGGGAGGTTTCCTCCTGTTCTATGTATCTGAGGACTCAGCTGGGAAGAGGTGGAGGCTGGAGGCTGGAATCATCTAGAGGTGACTTCCCTCACATGTCGGCAGTCAAGACTTGCGCAGCTGAGACTGATGGCCAGAACACCTACCTGTGGCCTCTGCTTGCGTGCGGGCCTTTCTCTGGCGTGGCGGCTGGGTTCCGACAGTGAGCATCCTCTGAGACTCAAGCAGGAGTGGCATGGTTATTTCTAAGCATCCTTGGAAGTCACACAATGTCACTTCTGTCACATTTTATTCCTGAAAGCAATCAAGGGAGAGAACATAGACCCCATGCCGTGATGGGAAGAGGGTCAAGGAATTTGGAGTCATATTTTTAAATGGCTTGAACAGTGCCTGGCTCATCACAAGCACTCATTAAATGATAGCCAGGAGAAGTAGTCATAGCACAATAGTAGCAGGGTTCAATCCTACATGTGCTGAAACAGTCATATCAGGTGACACTACGCATAAAGGGATTAATGGAGAAAGCATGGGGACAAGGTCCCTGGAACCTGACTAGGGCAAGACAGGCACTGAAAGGTAGAGTTAGGATAAAAAAAAACTAATATGCTTTGATATTATGCCAGGCACTAAGCTAAGCATCTTCCATGTAAGATCTCGTATAATCCATACAGCAATCCAAGAGGCAGATACTATCATTATGCACATTTATTGATAATGAGTCAGAGACTCAGAGAGGCAAAGGGTCTTACCCAAGGCCACACAGCTAGGAAAAGGCATAGCCAAGATTTGAACCCAGGCTGCAGGTTTTCAGAGCTGGTCCTCACTTCCTGAGACTAAACTGGGCAACAGTCCAGCCTGCCAGGTGGAACAGGCCATCCTGACTGTTTGGTGACAGACAGGGAGGGCTTGTTCTGCTGGACAGAGAGCCAGGACCAGGAGGTTTGTCAGCTGCAAGCCCACAGCCACAGGCAGGAGGAATAGGGCCAAGACCTCCGTCTGGAGGGTGGGGGAGGGAGGGAGTGGAGAGAACCCAAAGAGCAAGGCAGACCCCCCTCCAGAGGCAGCAAAGCACTAGGGAATGAAGATAACACCCTGGTCAGTGGAGCTGAGCTGAGGACCACAGTGGGGCCCTGACTTCTGCTCTCTGGTCCCCCACCTAGAGCAGGGCTCAGCCTGCTACTGGAGGTCAGGAGGCCTCAGCTGTAGGATGAGGAAGAGCAGGTGAGGAGGGGAGCACCATTCCAAACAACAGCAAGGAAGGGGCACAGACAGGGCCCCCAACAGCACTGTGTTCACAGGGCAACCTGCGTGCCTGAAGAGGATCAGCATACCTCTGCCTGGTGCCCTCTTGTCTTGACTTTTCTTTTATTTCCATCTGCTCCTTTCCCTTCCTTCCCTTCTTCCTTCCTTCCATCCCTCCTTCCATTCCTTCCTTCCTTCCATCACTTCCTCCATTTCTTTCTTCCATACGTACCTCCCTACTCCTCCCTCCATCCTTCCTCCCTCCTTCCCTTCTTCCTTTCTTCTCTCCTTCCTTCCATTCCTTCCCCATACAGAACCTCACAGATGGGAAAGGCTGCATTCCCCAGAGGCAAGAGGAAATCTGGTCTGAACCTGGTCGTGGCCATGGATTTCACCATAAAATGAAATATGACTCCTAAGCTGCTACAAAACCAGTACCAATGGTGTCATGAGCCTGTGATGACCTCCCTTGACTCTCTAGAAATTAGATGTAAAAGAAATGTCAACTCCTCTCTGTCCCCACAGTACAGAGGGTGTCTCCCAGAGCATATGAGTATCCTGGGTGCTAGTGGGAGGTGGCTTCATGGGGTACTAGATTATGAGCTGGATCGCCTTGAACTAATTGCTAAGTGCCTCCCAGCCTCGGTTTTCTTGGTTGAAACAACTTCGCGGGGCTGAGAGATGGGTAACACCAGATGACACACAGTTGCTCTCAGTCACAGAGTGCTTCTGCCTTGCCTGGTCCCTTGCTGGCACAGGCCTCTGACCTTTCTCCCAGGCCTGTGGGACAGAGCCAACTCCCAGCTGATGTTGGCGAGCGGCTGGGAGGGTGGACAGGCAGGCTGTCAGGGCCGGCCGCGTGCCCAGAGAACCTTCTGTGCCACTGTTCCCTCAGCCAGGCAGGTCCAGCCCACTGGCCACTTCCGTGCCCCTGGCAGGACAGGGCTGCAGGCCCCTCCTCTCACGTATCTCTGCTCAGCTGACCACGGTGGCCGCCCCCCTCCCTCCAAGCCCTGGAAACAGAAGTCTCCAATATAAATGCAAATTCGCTGCAGTCCCTAGTCTCGGCTGGCAGCTCCAGCCTGTGCTACAAGCTGGGGACATGAGCTGACACTGGCCCAGAGGAGATAAGGCGCTTCTGGGCCACCCCCACCCCCCACCCTGCCCACCCCTCAGCCTGTCAGCTCCACAGAGACCCCAGGGAGTCCCAGCTGGCTAGCTTCCCTTCCTCTTCACTGTCCCACAAGGCTGTGATGGACCTGCAAAGCCCCCCTTACCATAATTAAGGAGGGAGGCAATCCTCAAAAGGTGACATGCTCCACCTGCTTGCCCTCCAGGG